AATTTTTGATCAGGAATAACACTATATGGTTAGTGGTAGCTATAGTAACCCCCTGTATGTATGTATGTATGTACGTATGTGTGTGTGTATTTCATATTAAATTAATTATTTCATATGTAGTAATTTTAATAATATGTATGTTATTAATTATCTGTATGTATATTAAATTATTTCTCTTAATAAATTCAATAAATATTAATATTTATATTATTCTTTGCAGACGACAAATGAGGAAGCTTGAAGAAGCACTTGCCAGTACTAAAGATGCTGACAATAAATTTATCGAATCATCACTAACATCGGTGATGTCACTCGATTCGATGAATGAGGTCAGTACTTTAGATACGTGCATGGATACAATAATTGAAGGTACGTATGAAAATGTCCACATTTGCGAAGATGATGATACTCTCGTCATCGAACCGCAAGGCGATCTGGATAAAAATCGTATCCAAGATCATGAGCCTGAAGGTGATCGCATTATAAATGTTTCTTTTTTTATGAAAGAAATACATAGGACATTTGACAACCATGCACGTGGAATTGAGTGTCAATTTCAAGATTGGCATCTCGTAAATAGTCACCGCTGCGGGTTTAAGACGCGGTTTTTTTTTAAATGCGGAATGTGCCATTATGAAGCAGATTTTTGGTCACATCCCAAAGATGATAAAATCTTAGACATCAACACGGCTATGACAGCTGGAACTGTAGCGATTGGGATTGGTTATGCCCAATTAGAAGAGCAGATGGCAGCTGTCAATATACCGTGTATGTCTCAGAAAACATATATTAAACATCGAGAATTAGTACTCGATGAATTTGAGAAAACAGCCTTGGAAAATATGAAAGAGGCTGGCGAAATTGAGAAGCAACTCGCTCTAGAGAGCGATGAAATTATTAATGGCATTCCGTACATAACTGTTGTAGCGGATGGTTGTTGGGCAAAGAGGTCGTACGGAACAAACTACGATTCACTTTCCGGTGTTGGAGCGATCATTGGTTATCGCACAAGGAAAGTTCTCTTCGTCGGCATTCGCAACAAATTTTGCACAGTGTGTGATATGGCGGAACGAAAAAGTATCAAGGCAAGAGTGCATAAATGCTACAAAAATTTTGACCGTAACGAAAGCTCTACACGCATGGAAAGTGATGCTATTGTAGAAGGTTTCAAAAGTAGCA